CGGAGGGCCACAATAGGCGGGTTGGGGGGCAGTACAAAGGAGGGAGCAAGAGGGACCTCTCAACATCAGCAGCAGCAGCGGCAACCCGCCAAAATGCGGGAGGTCAGCCTGCGGTTCGCAGAAACCCCACAAAGGCAGCAGCAAAAACAACGGCAGAGTGGATGGGGTAAGAGCCCTACCACGCGGGGAGGAGACGCGGGAGTTCGACTTGGAGGCGGCGGTGGTGGGGTCGGGGGGAATCGATGCCCAAAGAGCAAGAGCGCTGTTCCCACGGCGGTGACCAGCGGCGGTCGACCAAGCAAGCGCAGCGGCGCGCCTCAGGGAGGGAGGGGGAAGGCGAAAGCTGGCGGCAGGCAAAGAGAAGGAAGCTCGCGCGGTCGGGGTGTTCGCGCTGGCGGCGGAGGGGGTGGTGGTGGTCTTGAGGACGACGCAGACATGATGCTGTGATGGTGACCAGTCCTCTGGCATTTGTACATGAATCGTGAGCGATAGCGACCGGTCCTGTGTCAGGGTCGCACGTGTGGAAGGCGTGGAGTTCATCCATCTCACTATGCATATAGGAAGAAGATCTCCAGCGTTTTGTTGGTTCAGACAGGCACCGCCGGTGACGTACCGTCCCTTCGCAGGCAACAACGCCTCCACGATCGACTTGCTACAACTGTCGGCGGCGTGTTGCATGTTCGCCACGCTGCGCATCACGCAGGATGGGGATGTAGATGTTCTGGTCTAGGTGTGTGCACAATTGACTGCGTTTCAGTTTATTGTGCGTCGACGAGTCGTGCAAGTGCCAACACATACATCCGTGCAGCCAGGTGTTTGTTTGGCGGGGGTTGATCGAACATATGAAGCGGTTTGTCTCATTTTACAAAGGAGGCGGGTTGTTTCGTTATTTGCATTTTCCGCGCTGACGGGCGTACCGCCGAACAGATGACATGGGTCTCTGTGAGTGAGTAGGCGATGGCTGCGATCCGATCGGATTGACGTGTGCATGCTGTCATCATAGACACACACATGGGGGTGACGATGAACGGGGTCGTTTTGTTTGCACCCCTTTTTCTGCCAATAGAAGACGGTGCGAGCCTTTGTTTTTGCACTCTGAAGTTGGCCTATTTCGACTCTGAACTTGGTTGATGGTCGTGATATAGCTACAGATAGACTGAGGTGTTACATAGAAGAAAATAAACACAACAGAGTACCACCAGGTTCGGTGTACAGCGTAATTTACTGTGTCCAAGGCGCACCACACTGTAAAAATATGCGGGAAGCCAAACAGGCACGAAACGGCGCTAGCACTTGGAATTGTACGACTAGACTGCATAGTCTAGACTATTGTTGCTGTTGTTGTTGTTGTTGTTGTTGTTGTTATCGTCACATCAATAACCGTTCCGATCTCTCTCCACCCAGTACCTTCGTATGTCCGTACTGATCCAACACTCGACGCGGTCGATTCCCGTGGTCGCAGGCTAACTTACCCTAAAAAGGTACACTCAAGTATAATGGCCCCGAGGGGTCCGCAAGTCAATAGAAATCAACGACAGATATTCTGGAGTCCTCCACTCCCTCTGCGCGCTATGCGAGATAACAGCTGAGACTAGGAGTCACCATCACGGGCCGGAGAGGAAGAGGTACACCCCCTTGGTTCAATCTTGGTACTTCACAACGCAAGCAGAGACAAGGCCATCTGGCACAGAAAAAGAGAGAAAAAGAGAAAAAGAGAAGAAAATAAAAGGAAACATTAAGGAAAGAGAAAATGAAATAATAAGAGCGAGGGCAAAAGGGACCAGGCCGAAAATGGCAATAAATAAGAGACAGAAAAAGGCACACGGTGGAGAGACCACTAACGACAAGCAAACACGCAAACCTGGCCACCAACCAGCGATACATTGTAATGGTACGTCATCACTAGTGGGAGGTTGGTGCAATGG